CCATCCATCCATCCATCCATCCATCCGACCATCCATCTGTCCACCCGTCACCACCCACTATCCATCTCCCCATCCATTCCCATCCACCCACCTGTCCACCCATCCCAACCCACTATCCATCCCCCATCCATCCACCTGTCCCCCCCGTCCATCCATTCTCCTGTCTACCCATCCCCACCCACTATCCATCCACCTGTCCCCCTGCCACCCTATCCGTCCATCCATCCATTCCCATCCGCTCTCCATCCATCCATCCTCCCCAATCTTATTGTATCCATCCGTCCACCTCTCTATATCCTCCATCCATCCACCTGTCCCCCGTCCATCCATCCATCCATTCCCATCCACTCTCCATCCATCCTTCCCCATTTGCTCTGTAATTACTGGATTGCAGAAGGTCAGGTCCAAAGAGTCCGATTCTCTCTTGCCCTGCACCTTGCGCAGTCATTGGCACCCGTGCAAAGGGATGTAAAATGTCCCCAGAGCAGAGCGGGGCATTTTACAGCCCCTGTGCCCTGTTGTACACAACAGCATGAGCTGCAGGGCAGTGGCAAACTGGGCCAAGCGTGTGTTAATTAGGGTTTGAAAGTTCGGCATAGATAACCCTGGTAGGGGCTGGGCAGATGACAAGCAGGGACTGTGAAAAGCGTCCTCCACTAGGGGGCAGTGCCTGAGGACCTGAGTCCATTCCCGTCATATCTCTGCTATTCCAGGCCTGCCCCCCACCCCCAACAGCGCCCCTCAATCCTGACCTTGCAGCCTTGGGACTTTTCTGACCCTCCCAAAATCTCTGGTTCACTTTGAGGTCTGCAGAGGGGTCAGGTGGGCTTGCCCTGCCCCCTGGGATGGTCCCCCCAGCTGGGAGGATGGCCATGTGGCCGGGCTCTCGGAGCAGAACCGGGGGGGCAGGGGCCAAGGCGCTTCCAGGGATAACACATTGGTGCCATTGACACAGCAGCAGCAGCAGCTGATGACCCCAGTGCTGTTGAGACAAAGTCATGGGCACTGCCAGGAGCTGGTGCTGACGGAGGACGAGAAGAAGCTGCTGGCCAAGGAGGGGGTCACGCTGCCCACCCAGCTGCCCCTCACCAAGGTAAGGAGAGGCCAAGGGACGGGATCCCCCCGGGTCACCTTTACAGCTGAGTCTTATCCTTCCAGTGCATGGAGAGCCAGCGGGGTAGGCGTGGAGGGGGTTGGGGGCGTGGAGGGCCCATGGGATGGGGGTCCCTGCTGGGCTCATTGTGGACTCAGCTGTAGGTTCTGGTCTGCTGTTGGCTTCTGGAGCAGATCTAGGCCACGGCGGTGCCACTGACTCCAGGGGTGTGGTGGTACTCGCTCACCCCAGGGTTGAATTGGACCCCAGCGGAGGAGCCTGGGTGGGAGTGAGGGACAGTGAATGGGCCACAGGGGTGGCTTGTAGGACAGGTCTTGGTGGATGCCCAGGCCCTGGGGGAAGCGGGTTGTTCACACAGGAGAGATCAGCCCTTGGGGGCTAGAGGAGGGAGAGCAGCGGGGCTGGGTTGTTCGCCATCCCCAGAACCTATGCTCCCCGCTGGGCCATCTCAGCCGAGTGAGTTTGGTTAGTGTCAGAACTCCTGGGTCCTATCCACTGGGGGGCCTTAAGCAGGTCCCCTCCCCTCTTGGTGCCTCAGTTTCTCATCTGCGGGGGGGTCAGGTAACTGCTCCCTGCAAAGCATTCCAGCCCCCCAGTGAGAGGCGCACAGTAGTATCTATTCTCCGGGGTCACAGGGTGATGGGCTGTGGGGCTGGGAAGGACTCCAGTCAGGGAGTCCCCGCCCCAGCGCCATGGTCCGGGCTCTGCCCTTCTCTCCGGCAGTACGAGGAGCGAGTGCTGAAGAAGATCCGCCGGAAGATCCGGAATAAGCAGTCGGCTCAGGAAAGCCGGAAGAAGAAGAAGGAATATATCGACGGGCTGGAGAGCCGGTGAGATCCCGGCCGCTCTCGCCGCACATCCGAGCAGGAGCTGCCGGCCTCAGGCGGGAGCCGGCTGGCTCTGGGCCCCACTCCCCGGTGCCCTGCCCCTCGTGCAGTCATTTACCGCTGGCCCACGGGGGCACAATGCCCCTGGGCTGGGCTGTTGGCGGTGCAGACTCGGGTCCTCTCTCTAGATGGGAACCTGCCTCATGCCCCTACCTAGTTCCCACCCAGCGCTGCCCCACGGAGCCGTCTCTGCCCCCACCCCAGTTCCTATCTCAGCCCTGCTTCCCCATGTCCCATCTCTGGCCCTGCCTTTCCCATCTCAGCCCCCCACCGGCTCACGCCTCCTCCCGCTTCTCCCCCCAGGATGTCGGCCTGCACGGCGCAGAACCAGGAACTGCAAAGAAAAGTGCTGCACCTGGAGAAGCAGAACTCGTGAGTCCCGGCTCCCTGCTGCCGGGGGGATGGGGGCACTGGCTGTCTCCCCCTTAACCTGAATAACCGGGTGATCCGGCTGCAAAGAGAGCCCAGGGGATGCCTCCCCCAGGCCCCCTGGAAGTGAAAGTTACCCAGAGCCCCCATGGAGATGGCCCTGCTAGCTCCCACCTCGGCCATCGGGGCAGGCTGGCTCCCTGCACTTGGCCCCGGGGCTGCAAACAGAGATGGGCCCAAGTCGCCCACTTCAGCCCAGCCACCCCCTGGTGCCTGGCAGGGGGCTTTGATCTAGTTCTAACTTGCCCCGAGGGATGGGTCTGCCCCTGGGGCCCCACGGGGGGCAGTGCTCCCCCCTTCAGCCCCTGCCTCTGACCGGGTCTTTTCCGCATCCAGGTCCCTCTTGGAGCAACTGAGGAAACTCCAGACCCTCGTGGTGCAGTCGACTAACAAAGCCGCCCAGACAGGGACCTGCATCGCGGTGCGTGGAGATCTCTCGCCATTTGCCCCCTTCTCTGCTGATGCCCTCAAGGGGGGCTGGGCCTAGCTTTAGGGGAGCGGGGGGCTCTGCTGGGCAAGACTTCCTGGACCCCCTCCATCTCCTTTCCCCCCACTGCCTCCATGTAGCCACGAGACCCCTATTCCTGTGCAGGGGTACGGCCCAGCAGCAGCTGGGGGCTGCACCAGCACCCCCGGCTCTGCCATTGCCTCTGTGTTGGGGGTGGGCTCTGTCATGGTCTGGCTCCGAGGAGCTTTGCCCCCCCCACACACACACATACTGCTGCTGACCACAGGATGGCGCTCTGATACCACGGGAACGGGCACAGGCAAGGAAGGGTAGATGGACAGGCGGGCAGACAAACATCACAGAGTGTATGGGGCCGGATAGAGAGTCAGAGAGAAGTGGGATGAAGGGGGATGGAAAGAGAGCGAGACAGACAGAGAGGTATGAACGGGGCTGGATGGACAGATAGACATTGGGGGGATGGATGGATAGACAGACAGACACTGGGGTATGAATGGGGATGGATGGACGGACAGACAGAGGGGTATGGATGGAGATGGACAGACGGACAGACAGACAGAGGATGGGGATGGACGGACGGACAGACAGACAGAGGGGTATGAATGGGGATGGACGGACAGACAGACAGACATTGGGGTATGAATGGGGATGGATGGACGGACAGAGGGATAGGAATGGAGATGGATGGATGGATGGCTAGACAGACTGAGGATGGGGATGGACGGACAGACAGACATTGTGGTATGAATGGCGATGGAAGACAGACAGACACAGACTCATGACCTGCTCCCAGTGTCCCTAGGGAAGTTGAAGTAGGTCCTCTGGCTGGTACCCAAGTTCCCCTCCTCTTGCCCCCCCAACCCACAGACGGGGGGGGGGCAGGAGACCATGACTATCGGAGGGACCAGCTGACGTCTCTCTCCCTCCGACTCGCAGGTGCTGCTGCTCTCCTTCGCCCTGATCGTCTTCCCCTCCATCAGCCCCTTTGCCCCCAATAAAGCGGAGCCGGAAGGTGACTTTGGGCCGGTGAGAGGTACGTGCTGGTAATGTGCAGAATGCAGGGGGAGTTCAGGGGTCCACAACATGCCGGCAGCTCCCTGGGAGCTGAGGGGTCCTGCACAGACCTACTGGCAATGGACGGTGTTGTGGTTAAGGTCTGGGAGACAGGACAGCTGCCTTTCAAGCCCGGCTCTGCCATGACTCGCTGGGTGACCAAGGCACTGTCCCCAGGTCCGTGCCTCAGTTTCCCAGTACGTACCACCAGGAGGATACTGATGTGAGATGACATCGGTGGTGGGGTAAGCAGGGCTGAAGCTAAGCCCTTGTCCACAGGCAGTACCCCCACCCCCGCCATTCAGATGCTAGGCTGGGAAGCTGCCGTCTTCCCAATCAAAGTAAAACCCAAGGGCTTTACATTAAAATTTGGTTTAATAAAAATTCCCCTGGCACTTTTTTTTGCAGTCTGAATGCCAACCTGGGTAGCCCTGCCTTCCTAAATGCCCCATGGAGCTTTCACTAGACATTGGTTCTTTTTAATTCCTGGGGCCGCAGAGCACTGCGGGGTTGCTGCGAGCTGTTAAGCAGTCGCCGCGTTCCACCCCAGAAGTGGCTGCATTTCAGCACTGGAGGGAACACGATCCCGAGGCAGCACTGCCGTATACTGTTATGCAGATGTCCGGTTCCACCCCAGAGGTGGCTGTATTTCAGCGCCGGGAGAACGCGATCCCGGGGCAGCATTGCCGTATGCTATTACGCTGTCTGGTTCCACCCCAGAAGTGGCTGCATTTCAGCACTGGAGGGAACGCGATCCCGAGGCAGCATTGCCGTATACTGTTATGCAGCTGTCCGGTTCCACCCCAGAGGTGGCTGCATGGTAGTGCTGGGTGGAGCAATTTCCGTGCCCTGTAAAGAACCATGGGGTGCAGAATGATTCTCACAACTTGTGGGGGAAGGGCGGGGGGGAGGGGCACTGCTGAATGGTGTTGGCCGGCTGGCGCTGGGAGACGCCCCACTGATTGGGCTTGTGCCCCCTCCGCTCCCCCGTGGCAGTATTCTCCAGGTCTCTCCATAACGCTGCCTCCTCCCGGGTGGTCTATGCCCTGATGAAGGACGGCGCCGAGAGCCCCCAGGAGCCGGAGAATCCCGTGTGGACGGAGTACGCCGGCGAGGCCCAGGGCGAGCCCCGGGGAGTCCTCCGCAAATTCCTCAGCAGCCAGGCGCTCGGCAAGCCCCGGGCAGAGGCTCCACAGGCCAACGGGACCGGGGCCCTGCCGCAGGACGGACACTCGGACTTGGAGGGGCTGAGTCACGACGGCCCCATGGCGGCCTCGCTGGCCTGGACAGAGCCCAGCCAGGTGCGGCTGGAGCCGGCCGAGGAGCTGTGAACGCCCCCGGCTGCCTCCCCCGTGCCCGGCCAGCGACGGAGTGAGCGGGAGGGCCGGGAGCCGCTGGCCAAGACCCCGGCCGGGGAGGGGGGCACTGATGGGAGTGCTGCCCTCGGGGGCTGCCTGGGGTGGGGTGTGGCAGAGCGCGTGTGGTGAGAGTGAGAGAGAAAGGGGGTCAAAAGAGGGGGGGCAGCTGGCTCCTCGGAGACTCCAGCAATCGCCGGGGAGGGGAGCCTGGCCCCTGGGCAGCTGCCATTTCACCCAGCCCAGACCTGCAGGGGAACAAGACTCTCCGGCCCCCATCCAGCCTTCCACCCCCCTGGGCTGGGGCACGGTCACCGCCAGGTCCCCTGGAAATTCCATGGGCTGGGAGGTTTCCCTGCGAATTGTCTGACATTTCCCCGTCCTCTACTGCCCCTTCCCCCCTTTCGGTGACGCCCGTTGGGGATTGCAGACGTTTATCCCAGCGCTGCCTGTCCGCCCGTCCCAGCCCCACATTTGCGTCTCTTCTCTGTGCTCCCTCGGCTTGGGGAGGGGAGGTGGGGACCTACACAGAGCGGCCCAGGAAAGGGACGGGTCGGTCCCCTCCCGGCCCCACGGCACGTGGCCTCTGGGTGCATAGCCCCCAAATCCCCTCAAAGGCCCGGGGAGGTGGGCAGAAACCGGGCCGCCCTGCAGCTCCACTTTGCAGGCTTCTGGGCAGCCTGGAGCGGCTGGGGGGTGGAGGGGGATCCAGAGGCAGTGGGGAAGGGGACCGGGCAGTTTCCAAATGGGAGCCGATCCTGTCGGAGAGAGGCGCAAGGGGGAGCGGGGCCCTTTGTGAAAATGGCGGGGGACGGGCTGGAAAACCACGGGTTGCTCTCCCCAGTGTGTGGGGAGCTGGTTAATACTCAAGGAAGGCCCCGGGGACATTGGCTAGGGGGCTGGAGTGCAAGCGAGTCGGGGCTCGGGCTCTGCCTGCGCCTAGCACTGCCTCTCCTGGGGGGCACGGAGGGGATGGGGTGGGGAGTTGAAATGGCCAGGCACTGCCCGGGGGGCACAACCCCTCAGGAGCCAAGAGCTTGCACCTGAGTTCAGCAAAGCAGCGCTGACCGCACCTGGCAGCTGTGATGCGCCAGGCCCGGTGCTGGGATCCGGCTTAGCCGCCAGGCAGAGGGAAAGCGTCAGGAGCTGCGCGTGTGTGTGAGTGTGAGAGAGACGCTGCTGTTGGTCATGTGCACAGGGCCCCCGGCCGCGCAGTTCGATGGGACGCCAGGGCTAAGATGCTGGAACTGAACCACCTAAGCAAGGCAGCGTGAGCCCCGCCTGGGTGCCTCCCCCACTTCCCTCGGGGAGCCTAGTCCCCAGGCTAATATCCTGCGGGGGAGGCATAGGGAGAACCCCTGAGGTGGTGGCGACTGACCCCACCTAGGGTCTCAGAGCCCTTCCCCAGAGGGAGGCCTGCGAAATCCAAGGCCGCCCGCCGGGGCCCCCATGAGAATATAGTATTCTCTAGTATTGCAACCTTTTTTATTGGTAAGGGGCCCCCGGAAACTTAGCTTTGTCCCCACGGCCCCCTAAACTCCT